AAACGCACCGGAACGTGTCAAAAACACATCAAAAAATACACATGCAGAAATGCATCCAAAAAGCATCTGGACTGTGTTTCTATAGTGTGAACTGGTCCTTAAGGCAGATTTAGTAACACTAAGGGGGTTATCTATAGAAGGGAGCAGATACCACCATTTGCTGGACACCACAATACCTTGAATTACCCCAAATGCGTTTGTGTCCTGCTGGGATAGAAACTCCATTGTCAGGTCAGCAGAACTTGCTATTTTTGGGCTCTGGAAGAATTTCTTTGAAAGAGCATCAACCTTGCATCGGAGTGAACATAAATTATTTGCAGACTGGGAAAACCTTACAGTTATGTTTGGGAGAGGTCTCAATAGATGAGAAAAGGAAATCTTTGCTGGAGCAGAGAATTCATGTTGGAGAACATTCAGACATAAAGGTCAGACAAAGGTAAAACAAATATGTCGTAAAAGGAACTGCTTTTCCTGAAAACTGTTTTTTTTAAAGCCGAACTCCAGGCAAACAGCTAAATATACAGAGGAAATATGGGGTCGGTCAAAAAAGTGGAAACACTACATGATCTGCAGGTGTGAAAGTGACAACATATTTGGTGGTGAAAGTGATGTAACATTCTTTTACTTCGGCTGTGTGATGAGACACCTAGCTAACAGGTGGGAAGCCTCACTTTCATCAATCACTGGGGGCGCTCAGGAATGTATTTAGAATTTTTGCTGGCCTAGGCAACATACAAAAATCTGTCGCCCACCAGCTCCCCCACCTGTGACCCCCGCCCCCCTCGCACTCCACTGCAAACCCCACCCCCACCTGGAGAGAAGAAGAAAGATTCACCATCACAGACACTCCTTTCCCGAAGTCTCACACCCACTCCCATGGCTCCCCTCACTCTGCTCTGCCACCCAGCTCCGGGGCCCAGGAGAACCAGCATCCCTTCTTCCAGGGGGAGGGGGTGGGGATGGCACCGCCCCCCTGAAAAATGCTGCCCAAGGCAACTGCCTTGTTTGTTTGCAGCAAATACATCCCTGTGTGCACTGCTAGTAATACAGAGTCATGTCAGAGATTACTGAGCTTCAAAGAAGGCAGATTGTTGGTGCCGGGAAAACAGCGTCTGATAAGCAAAAAGTGCAGTCGACATGGTGAACTGACCGAAAGAAACAAACAAAAGGACATTGCGCATGACTAGTGTAGAAGAGATGTGCTAGTTAAGACCCCTACACCTCGATATATCCTTAAATATACCAATAAAGAAGACCAAAATGCGGTTGGAGTAAAATGAACATCACGGCCTTTTATTAACAATTCAACTTCAGTAACACAAAAAACAATCCTTAAAACAGAAACATACCGGAGAAGTTGTTGGTCCTTGAAGGCATCAAACAAAAAACTGATATTCCCCTGCGGAACCTTAACCACATTATTAATACTAGGCATCCAGCCGCAACACACCATCTGCAGTGCAGAACCTCCACCTTCCGGTTAAACCTCTGTTAATCGGAATGCACCCGGCACACCATACCACCGATGGGTCCCAACCATTCACTTTAGCTTTATCGTATGTGCCGCCTCCAAAGACCAACAACCGCCCCCGGAACAAACTGAACTGAAAACACCCAAACAAACCTCAAGGGAGGGAGGGAGTTAAGCTTGCTCCACCGCTGCCACTCCTGCACTGGATTGTCCGACCCCCACCCCCCCAAGGTGTCGAAGACCCCACCTCTCACACTCATCACCAATCAGGTAAACTGCATATTTACTAATTCCCACCTTTACTTAACCCTTCGTTGTCTTTCCTACCCCCCCTTCACCTAGTCATGTCTGTCCTCCGCTATTTTCTCTTTCTTTTTTTGCTACGGGCACCTCTGGATTGTAATCCGGAACTGCTGCAAAAGTGACTGCAGAGCTCAATCTCAGTCTCGTGAAGACTGAGAACTCTTTGAAAACACAGAACTCTGCATGTGATTGAACACAGCCAATCAGCTGATTTCAAACAAAATCATTGGCTGAATTCAGTTGCCAAACTCGTACAGTGTCCAATCACAGTGCGGCTCGACAGGGGGCATACAAATGCACGTCCCACCGTGGCGCGGTTCCTGTGCGAATCACATGCGATGTTCCGCACCGCAGAAGTGTGAACCCAGGTTTAGTCCAGAGATTTTTACAGCAACACTACTGCCACATACAAATATAAACACCTCAGGGGCGCCTACACACTAAAATGTTGATTACGATACACATGTTATATATCGCCGTACACACCGAGCTGACACAGTCTGGGAGGTACACTGACACTGGCATCAATAGTGACACTAATATAGTGATCAGTGCTAATACTGTACACTGTCACTGTACTAATGACACTGGCAGGGAAGGGGTTAACATCTAGGCTGCTTTTACTTTCTTATATGGCTGCTTTTTCTCCCTGCTTTGCAGGGAGAAGAAACAGCCAAATCACTGTTCCCTGTACACAAACACAGAACTCTGAGTGTGATTGGTCTCAGCCAATCAACTTGACGTCAGCTAAAATCATTGGCTGAAATCAATTGCCAAACTTGCGCTGTGTCCAATCACAGCACGGGCCAAAGGGGGTGCAGATGCATGAGCCCCAAACCTGCCCAGAAGAAGGCCGGTCACATTTATATACATGGTTATGCCTGCTCCTTCTGCCCGCTTGCAGTATATATATTGTGAACAATCAGAAGATGGTTAATGTTTCACTTTAAAGAGGAGCTCCAGTCAAAATGCAAAAAAAAAATCAAAGTCAGCAGCTACAAAAACTGTAGCTGCTGACTTTTATAAAACAGCCACTTACCTGTTCCGTGATCCAGTGTTGTCCTCCCCGCAGCCGGCCGACCTCTCTCTTCGGCACCAGCATCTTAAGTGTGGGTACCACTGCAGCTTGTGATTGGTTCCATTGTCTTCTGGGACCTGTCATGTGTCCCAGAAGACTACGGGGGTTGGACAACTTCTGATTCCGATCCCCTAGGTGATCACAATGGAGGTGGGTGCGGGTACCTGTCAAAATTGGGTACTTGCTCTCATCCTACCCAAAGGTGCCAATCCTTAACAGGGAGTGGGGGACGAGACCTTTAAAGTGGAACTTTCCCTTTTGGGTGGAGCTCTGCTTTATGAATAATAAAAGTTGCAGCTGACCAGTCCTTAAATGTGGTGGCTGCATGAATTCACTTTTTGTTAGAGGTACTTATATGGCATAGTCAATTTGCGCTTTTTCACATATGTATATTGTACATTCACATCAGTCCCTAACCCTCAAGGGGTGTACAATCTAAGGTCCATAACTCACATTCATACATACACATACTAGGGCCAATTAGAAAGGAGCCAATTAACCTACCATCATGTCTTTGGAGTGTGGAAGGAAACCGGAGTACCTGGAGGAAACCCACGCAGGCACAGGGAGAACATGCCAACTCCAGGCAGGTGGTTCTATGGTTGGGATTCAAACCAACGACCAGGGGCGGACTGACCATTTGGAAACTCGGGCACTGCCCGAGGGCCCGGGGTCAGTAGGGGGGCCCCATGAGATGCCCCTGGTACCTTTTTCATAGGCTTTTTTGAGTTTGGGCAAGGACACAGGGGCCCCATGATCCCCTATTGCCCGGGGGCCCCCATGAGTTGTCAGTCCGCCCCTGCCGACCAGTGAAGTGGTGGAAGTGCTAACCATTTAGCCACTGTGCTAAGGCTTTAACTCTTTATTTCCCCTTATTTCCCCTTAAACTCTTTATTTCCCCTTTATTTTCACCTAACGATTCAGCCCCCTTTTTAGTCTTAGGCTTAGTTCACACTAGCTTTGAAAGCATGTTTTTAACGCTTGTAGAAAGCCCATACTAAAGCTCATTAACGCCTGTCTAACGCTATAGGGGTGTTTTTGAAGAGTTCGAAATTTAGTCGAGTGTGAACAAGCCCTTAGGGTAGGGGTGTCAAACTGGCGGCCCTCCAGCTCTTGCGAAACTACAAGTCCCATCATGCCTCTGCCTTTTGGGAGTCATGCTTGTAACTGTCAGCCTTGCAATGCCTCATGGGACTTGTAGTTTGGCAACAGCTGAAGGGCCACCAGTTTGACACCCGTGAGCAGGGGCGGACTGACAACTCATGGGGCCCCCGGGCAATAGGGGATCATGGGGCCCCTGTGTCCTTGCCCAAACTCAAAAAAGCCTATGAAAAAGGTACTAGGAGCATCTCATGGGGCCCCCTACTGACCCCGGGCCCTCGGGCACTGGCTGAGTTTCCAAATGCTCAGTCCGCCCCTGCCCATGAGTTAGGATGTCTACACTCTGGATGGAAGAGCAATAGACACACCCCTGGATAGTAACATTGTCAGTCTGGGGGGGAGAGGGTAGTGTTAGATGGACTAGCACATTTAAAAGTACTTGACTAACAAATTAAAGCCGGATCCCAACTAACACTTTATAAGCAGTTATAGCAACAGATTTCCTTTCTGGATCCTGGGTTCACATACATGCGGTGCGGTACATCGCATGTGATTCGCACAGGAACTGCACCGCATTCTTGTACAAAGCACATGCAAATTGTGTGCGGTGCGATTGGAGCCATACATTTTGTATGGCTCTAATCGTACCGCATCCGCACCAAAAAGGTGAACGATTCTTTTTTTGGTCCACACTAGAATCGGATCGCATGGGTATTCACACCTATGCAATCCGATTCTGCACATCACACCGATTTCAGGGTGTCGTTAACTTAACATACACACTCGCGGCGGTTTGCATGAATGGGGTGCGATTCTGATGCAGTGCGGAATTTGCACAGAAAACAATTCTCCCCCCTTTTTTTATCTCCTTTTTTCTTTTTCTTTTTCCAGCTCACTTTTGACCCCTCCTCATGCCTCATACGGAACCCCCAAATGGTCATTGGGAACAGTGCTCCCTCTCAGTTGTACTTAGATCCTATCTTTCCTTGTACCACAGTGTCCCTTCATGTTTTTATATGGTTCCTCACAGGGGCGGACTGACAACTCATGGGGCCCCTGGGCAATAGGGGATCATGGGGCCCCTGTGTCCTTGCCCAAACTCAAAAAAGTCTATGAAAAAGGTACCAGGGGCATCTCATGGGGCCCCCTACTGACCCCAGGCCCTCGGGCAGTGCCCGAGTTTCCAAATGGTCAGTCCTCCCCTGGTTCCTCATAACAAGATTTTCATGCAATAATCCTTCTTCCCCGTAGGACAATATGTTTTTCTATATTCATTTATGCCTGTATATGTTCATGGACTGTCCTACGCTTGTTTCTTTTTCATGTTTCTGAAATTAATAACAAGTTTGAACAAGAAAAGCTGATCATTGTAAGCACTCCTGTCAGTGGTCAATGGTTTGTCTCAGCCCTCTAACTGCTATTTTTGCTGGACAGCTTGGTCTGTTAAGAAGGTTAAAAAAAGAACAAGCTTACTTTCCAGATCCCCATTTCATAATTAAAGGAAACAAGCCTAAAAAAGAAAACTAATGCATCCACCATACCTAAGGAGCTGCAATAAATTCCTTTTTTTTGAAATACCGCTTTAAACGCAAGCGTTGAAGAAAGAACTGTGAAATGTTCTCCCTTGTCTTCTCGATTGCTGTCTTAAACCATTAAACATAAATATGGAAATGTGGGATTTCATGGCAGTTAAGAAGCAATTGATACACCTAATCTGCTGGGTTTAACACATCAGGGGTTCTAATTCCTACTTCTTATGCAATATTGAACATATGGATCCCATAAAACCTGCTCTTCACTGCTGACACCACCTTGTTCTGCTGAGAAGAACATTCACATTTATGGGGCAACAACAAAACCTGAAAGCCGGTATTATTACTTCCTACAGTCGCCCGGTCTGACGTTGTGAATGGTAATACTTGCCGAGGCTCGGCTAATCCGAGTACTTGGTTACATGTATTTACCAGAGAAAAGCAGATTGTATTTCTTTGTGTCAAATAAACAGGCGGTGTGTTCTAATCTGGCTAAAGCAATGAGCTTAAGTGCGGTGTGGGGGCATCTGTTCTTTGCCATTTCATGTCCACTCTGCTTTTGCCTTTCCTTTGCTCACATATTCGTGTAAGAAGCTTTACTGGCAGATCGAGAAATCCAGGGGGAGCTGTGCTCCAACAAATGATCATTCGCTGGTCATGCCGCTGTGCCGCTGCGAGCTGTATGAAATAGCAACTAAAGATTAACCGTTCCTGCAACTGAAATGCCTCTGCTTGGGGGAAAAATTGTAAAAACATATTGATACACATAGATATTAAAGGATGCACTGACTTTACGTTGTGCTCTTTAACTGCGTCGCGTCCTGAGCGATTTTTTTACACACATGTAAAATCGGCATTTTTTTTGCTAGAAAATTACTTAACCTCCCTAGCGGTATGATTATTTCAGATTGTTTGTGCTGAAAGCAGTACCATTATTTTGCATGGAAATACCGTATTTTCCGGCGTATAAGATGACCCCCTACTTTTCCTGTTAAAATATAGGGTTTGAGCTATACTCGCTGTATAAGACTACCCCTCTTCCAACGCACACCAAATAAAAATGAAAAAACATCAGATTTGATTTTAATATGGTATGCTATTTCAGTATGGTATTCCAATGATGGGGTGCTATTCCTCCCACTGACACCAATGATGGGGCACGATTCCTCCCACTGACACCAATGATAGGGCACTATTTCATCCACTGACACCAATGATGGGGCACTATTCCTCCCACTGATACCAATGATGGTGCCCCATCATTAGTGTCAGTGTGTGAGGAATAGTGTCCCATCATTAGTGTCAGTGGGAGGAATAGTGCCCCATCATTAGTCAGTGGGAGGAATAGTGCCCCATCATTGGTGTCAGTGGGAACAATCGTGCCCCATCATTGGTGTCAGTCGGAGGAATAGTGTCCCATCATTAGTGTCAGTGGGAGGAATAGCACCCCATCATTGGTATCAGTGGGAGGAATAGTGCCCCATCATTGGTATCAGTGGGGAGAATAGTGCCCCATCTTTGGTATCAGTGGGAGGAATAGTGCCCCATTGTTGGTGTCAGTCAGTGGGGAGGAGGAATAGTGCCCCATCGTTGGTGTCAGTGGGGAGGAGGAATAGTGCCCCATCGTTGGTGTCAGTGGGGAGGAGGAATAGTGCCCCATCGTTGGTGTCAGTGGGGAGGAGGAATAGTGCCCCATCGTTGGTGTCAGTGGGGAGGAGGAATAGTGCCCCATCCTTGGTGTTAGTGGGGGAGGAATAGTGCCCCATCATTGGTATCAGTGGGGAGAATAGTGCCCCATCATTGGTGTCAGTGGGGAGGAGGAATAGTGCCCCATCCTTGGTGTCAGTGGGGGAGGAATAGTGCCCCATCATTGGTATCAGCGGGAGGAATATTGCCCCATCATTGGTATCAGTGGGGAGAATAGTGCCCCATCATTGGTGTCAGTGGGGAGGAGGAATAGTGCCCCATCCTTGGTGTCAGTGGGGGAGGAATAGTGCCCCATCATTGGTATCAGGGGGAGGAATAGTGCCCCATCATTGGTATCAGTGGGGAGAATAGTGCCCCATCATTGGTGTCAGTGGGGGAGGAGGAATAGTGCCCCATCCTTGGTGTCAGTGGGGGAGGAATAGTGCCCCATCATTGTTGTCAGTGGGGAGGAGGAATAGTGCCCCATCGTTAGTGTCAGTGGGGGAGAGGAGCGGCTGCTCCTTCTTTCAGTTCGGCCGCTCGATTTTCGCAGGGCCGCTCGGCTCCGCCTCCTCACCGGTGATTGGTCGCCTGTGTGCCTTTCCAGTGCTGGTGCCCAATCACCGGTGAGGAGGCGGAGCCGAGCGGCCGAGCGACCATCAAGCGGCCGAACTGAAAGAAGAAGCAGCCGTGCTTCCTGGACCGGATCGTCGTGGGACCGGAGCCAGGTAAGGTACAGCAGCCCCTCTGCCCACCCCTGTACTTAGTGTCCGTTGGAGGAGGAGGGGGGGCGGCGCCGCGCAGCCCCTCGAAAAAAGTGCTGCCCTGACACCGACTCGCTGTATATACCGGCGTATAAGACGACCCCCGACTTTTCAGAAGATTTTAATGGGTTGAAAAGTCGTCTTATACGCCGGAAAATACGGTATGTAGTTTTTTTATTGTAGGCTGTAATATTTAGGAATAGCTCACTGAAATCTGTCCGAACAAGAGTCTAGTAAACATCCCGGGTAGGATAAAATTTGAAACACAAAATCATAAATTATAATTTAATAAATAATCACAAAAAATAATAATATAATAATAATACATTTAATTCAATAATATAATCAAACCAAAAACACTGAAATTTGAAATATAGCGCCAAGTTCGCACATCGCTGAGCAAAGTCCCAATATTGTTTTCAGTGTCTGATGACGAATTTCCCCCACGAATCATTATCACTCAATTCTGCAAGTGGTTCTGATTTGCTATCGCTGTTCTCTAGCCGATCTAAAACCGCTTTTGACATAAAGGGACGCTTTTTGGACGCCATGGACTTTTCTAAGTTTCCAGGCAGAAAGAACAGTAAAAATGCAGGCAGGGCGCCGGACAAAGCACTTGGGACAAAATGTATGTGAAATGGTTTGAAACAGCAATGTTTTACTATGTAAAATTTGTTTTGAAAAAAATTAAATTTTTTTTACATTTTCAAATTTGCAGCGGCGCCCGTACATCCCGACGTCACAGGGACCGGAACACAGAAGCCGGATGCCGGCATCGGCCGGAGGAGATGGCCGGGGACACTACAGGGGACACATCGCGGGAGCGAAGGACAAGGTAAGCTCTGCAGGGACTCCCTATGCAGCGCCGCATGGTAAGCCCGAGTGTAGCTCGGGGTTACCGCTTTTGGTACTGACATTTTACCCCGAGCTACACTCGGGAATACCGCTAGGGAGGTTAATCCCCTCCAAACAATCTCAAGTTTTCTGAAAGTATAGCCTCCATAGAATATCATGATGGCAGTTGCAGTTTTCTATTTTGCCTGATGTTTGAGCAAATATACACTGCTCAAAAAAATTAAAGGAACGCTTTTTATTTAGAGTATAGCATCAAGTCAATGAAACCCCTGGGATATTGATCTAATCAGTTAAGTATCAGGGGAGATTGTTAATCAGTTTCAGCTGCTTTGGTGTTAGTGAAATGAACAACAGGTGCACTAGATGGGCAACAATGAGACAACCCCCAAAATAGGAATGTTTTTACAGGTGGAGGCCAATGACATTTTTTTCCCTACTCATCTTTTCCAACTGTTTTTCACTAGTTTTTGGTCAGGGTCAGTGTCACAACTGGTACCATGAGGCAGTATCTGGACCCTACAGAGGTTGCACAGGCAATCCAACTCCTCCAGGATGGCACATCCATATGTGTCATTGCCAAAAGGTTTGCTGTGTCTCCCAGCACAGTCTCAAGAGCATGGAGGAGATTTCAGGAGACAGGCACCTACTCTAGGAGAGCTGGACAGGTCCTTAACCCATCAGCAGGACTGGTATCTGCTCCTTTGTGCAAGGAGGAACAGGATGAGTACTGCAAGAGCCCTACATATGACTTCCAGCAGGCCACTGGTGTGAATGTCACTGACCAAACAATCAGAAACAGACTTCATGAGGGCGGCCCAATGTCCTCTAATGGGCTCTGTGCTCGCTGCCTGGCACCATAAAGCTTGATTGGCATTTCAAAAAAAATGGCCGCTGCCCAAGTCTATAACTGGCCTTCACAGCAAGGAGCATATGGAAGGGCGACACATGTCAAACAACAAAAGAGAAAAATTCTCAGCTCAACTTGCCAAACATCCTGCAAACAAACCAAATTAATCTGTCTAACAGTATGCTTTAAAAACAGGGGTTTGGTTAGCACACATTTACAAATACATGCGTAAGCTACAGAGCCACGTCATGTCACCCTGATATTCTGTAGTTCCTAACTCTACAATTTTTGAGAGCCCCCATAGTAGAGGCACATGTACTTAATGGATAGACCAAGGGCAGGTGGACCTGAGGGAGCCCACCCTTCTTTAAAGGTACAGGAGTGCACTGGACACCCAGCATGTAGCACAATGGCAGCTAAGGTGTCCAGTGCACCCCCTCACCAACAATTCAACAGTACAAACAATGGCCGCTGCCCCAGTCTATAACTGGCCTTCCATGTGCTCCTTGCTGTGAAGACCAGTTATAGACTGGGGCAGCAGCCATTGTTTGTACTGTTGAATTGTTGGTGAGGGGGTGCACTGGACACTCTGGCTGCCATTGTGCTGTATGCTGGGTGTCCAGTGCACTCCTGTACCTTTAAGAAAGGGTGGGCTCCCTCAGGTCCACCTGCCCTTGGTCTAGCCATTAAATACATGTGCCTCTACTATGGGGGCTCTCAAAATTTGTAGAGTTAGGAACTATAGAATGTCAGGGTGCCGAGGCTCTGTAGCTTACGCATGTATTTGCAAATTTGTGCAAACTAAACCCCTGTTTTTAGGTTAATTTGGTTTGTTTGCAGGCTGGTTGGCAAGTTGAGCTGGGAACTTTTCTCTTTTCTTGATTGGCATTTGCCATTGGATACCAGAATTGGCAGGTCTGCCACTGGCACCCTGTGCTTTTCACAGATGAGAGCAGGTTCACCCTGAGCACATGTGACAGACGTGAAAGGGTCTGGAGAAGCCATGGACAATGTTATGCTGCCTGTAACATCGTTCAGCATGACTGTTTGGTGGGGTCAGTGATGGTCTGGGGAGGCATATCCATGGAGGGATGCACAGACCTCTACAGGCTAGACAATGGCCCCCTGACTGCCATTAGATATCAGGATGAAATCCTTGGACCCATTGTCAGACCCTACACTGATGCAGTGGGTCCTGGGTTCCTCCTGGTGCACAACAATGCCCGGCCTCATGTGGCGAGAGTATGCAGGCAGTTCCTGGAGGATGAAGAAATTAATACCATTGACTGGCCCCCACATTCTCCTGACCTATATCCAACAGAACACCTCTGGGATATCATGTTTTGGTCCATCTGATGCCGCCAGGTTGCACCTCAGACTACCCAGAGCTCAGTGATGCCCTGGTCCAGATCTGGGAGGAATTACCCCAGGACACCATCCATCATCTCATCAGGAGCATGCCCCAACATTGTCAGTCATGCATACAAGCACGTGGGGGCCATACAAACTACTGAGGACCATTTTGAGTTGCTGCAATGATATTTCAGCAAAATGGACTCGCCTGCTGCATCATTTTTTCACTTTGATTTTCGGGGTGTCTTTGAATTCAGTCCTCTGTAGGTTGATAATTTTCATTTCCATCAAACGATGGGACATCCTTACGTTCCTAACACATTACCCCGTCCATGTCAGTATTGATATCCAGCATGAGATTTTTCCCTGATTGTGATCTGATGTGTTTTCAAAGTGTTCCTTTAATTTTTTTGAGCAGGGTATATTTGTTTTTCACACTCTGTTAAAATTGGCATTTTTTTGTTAGAAAATCACTTAAAGCGGAACTAAACTCACCATGGGCTCTGCTCCTCACCTGGCTGCTGACATCTTTGGGCAGCGGGCTTCTGGGTCTCGATCATCGGCTGCTGTCATTGGCTGGGCGGGGATGACATCACTGTAGAGGGGCGGATAGGCAGGTAAGTAACTTTAATGCAGAAGAGACAAAGCATATCTCTTCTGCATTGAAATTCCTGCATGTTCACCATTTTGTTTTCTTACCTAAGTTCCACTGTAGCCTCCCTAGCGGTCTGGTTATGTCAGTATTTCTGTGCTCAAAGCGGTACATTTTTTTGCATGGAAATATGTAGTTTTTTTTATTGTAGGCCTGTAATTTTTAGGAATAAGTCACTGAAATCTGTCCGAACAAGAGTCTAGTAAACATCCCGGGTAGGATAAAACTTGAAACACAAAATCATAAATTATAATTTAATAAATAATCATAAAAAATAATAATATAATAATAATACATTTAATTCAATAATATAATCAAACCAAAAACACTGAAATTTGAAATAGAGCGCCAAGTTCGCACATCACTGAGCAAAGTCGCAAAATCGTTTTCAGTGTCTGATGACAAATTTCTCCACGAATCATTATCACTCAATTCTGCAAGTGGTTCTGATTTACTATCGCTGTTCTCTAGCCAGTCTAAAACCAATTTTGACATAAAGGGACGCTTTTTGGACGCCATGGACGTTTCTCAGTTTCCAGGCAGAAAGAACAGTAAAAATGCAGGCAGGGCGCAGGACAAAGCACTAGGGACAAAATGTATGTGAAATGGTTTGATACAGTAATGCTATACTATGTGATCTTAGTGTATTAGTGAATGTCACTTTTTGACATTTTTTAATTTCCTGCCGTTCCGTCCCCCCGTACGTCCTGATGTTGCAGGGAACGGAACCCGGAAGACAGATGCCGGAATCGGCCAGAGGACATTGCCAGGGACACTGCAGGGGGGACATCGCAGGAGCGCCGGACAAGGTAAGTGAAGAAGAGATCCCGGAGCAACGCTGCAAGGTAAGCCCGAATGTAGCTCGGGGTTACCGCTTGTGGTGCTGAAACTTTACCCCGAGCTACACTCGAGAATACGTCCAGGGAGGTTAAAGAGTATGTTACACCAACATTTCATTGCCCTGATATGTGCCTGCTGTACCATGTACTTGTATGATAAAGTCTCCTGTTCTCTTTGTATTGCTTACTTTGTGGAAATCCCTGGTGTTCCTGCCAGTCCTTCTGCTTTCGTACTAAAACTGACCAAACTAAGCAGGGAAGCACAGCGTGGTCAGTTCTATAGCTGTGGTGGGAACTAAGCCTTCTCCCCTCCAATGATCAGACCTGTCACCCTGACAACCCCCCCCCCCCCCGCACACAGCCATTCCCTGGGAAGATCAGTGTACTGCTGTTTCTCCTCCCCCAGAGCTCTATGAATCTGAAAACAGAGGGAATGTGATCACTTATAAAAAAGGGAAAAAGGCATTTATAATTTTTTTTTTTTACTTACATTTTTTGCCTTTCATTTCTATTTTAAACTAATTTGGTTGTTTTACAAGGTGAGGGTTTAGAATCACTTTTAAAGGATAAGTTCACCTTTCAGACAAAAATAATAAATGCATTTTTTTTGCAGGTAAAAAAATGTGCATCTATTATTTTTGTCTACAAGAGCCTGGGAAGCATTGCAGCAGTGATCAGTAGATCGCTGGTGCCATGTAGATCTCCTGCAGACCTGTCAGAATATTTGCTTGCTGTACGGGATGTACAGGATGTACGAGGTGTATGGCCAAGCAGATATTCTGACAGGAAGCTTCAATGAACTACCACGACACTCCACAGCACCATGGTAGTTCATTGAAAACTACAAGCCGACAGCTGCTAAGGCCACTAACTTGCAGCTCATTCATTCATGGAAGTCTGTGAATGAATGATGCCACCCGCGCCGCTGTTTTCAAATTTGACAGTACGGGGCATATTATCTGTCATAGGGAGGGGGTGCGGCGGGCTATGGCTATGGGAACATGTTACATGTTCCACCCTATAAACAGGTGGAACATGTAACATGTTCCCAAAGGTGGACTTATCCTTTAACCTTCCCCCCCAAAAAGTTTATGAAAGCGGAGGCTCTGCAGAATAAAATATTGGCATTTGTAATTTTTTTTAAGCTGCACAATATTTGTGCAAATGTTTATCAAATATGTATTTAATCCCTTCATGACCAAGATAAAAACAACCATAAGGGCCCATTCACAATAGAAACTGCATCTAAATTGCGCTGGAACTATTTCAGCCCATTCATTTTTAAAAGGGTTGAAATCACACTGCACCAAAACTAATGCATGCACTAGTTTTGGAAACGCACTGCAGTCAGATTGCATGGCACTTTTATACTATGCAATCTGATGTTGGCAAACACACTGCATTTGCCACTTGTGTTTGCGTGTCGGTAACTTTGCAGTGACATCAGCTGCAGATTGCAGGGGCAGTGCGATTTGGATGTGGTGCGGGAAAGAACGCGGAACATGGGTTTCCTATACTGTGTTCTAGTATGAACTGGCCCTAATGCCCAATTTTGCAACTTTGACGTGTGTTAGTAAAAATGTGCATATCATCACAACGACTTAGAGTTTCTTTGTGCATTATACCTTCTTTTTTTTAGGACACATTGGCTTGTCATTTGGTGGTAAATGGTAATGGATATCTACTGATTTTGTTTTATTATCAAAGGAAAATTGGCTTAACATAGTAAAAAAATGGTTCCATTATCATGTCTCACCACCAAAAAAAGCAAAAACATAAATTCTACTACTTCTGATGATTGTGGTAATACCACATATATAAGCTGTCACGGAGTGCCTGCTCCTCTTCTGCCACCCCCCCCCCCCCCTTCCCCCCCCCCCCCCCCCCCCCGGTGCCTGTGTCTCCCTTGTGTCCCCTCACCCTCTTCTCATCCTGTCGCAGCCTTTGAAGTTAGGCTGCACAGGATGAGAAGTGGCACCTCCCCCCCCCTTGCCTCTTGTCACCTCCTCACATCCTGACGCAGCCTTTGAAGAAAGGCTGCGCAGGATGGGGGAAAGTGACCCAACCTGTCTCCGCGCACCCCCCGGCAGGCGCAGCGCGGGCACGAGGCTTCCTGCTCTCTGCGCCTGCCAGAGACAAAGATCGCGCTCCCAAAAGCGCGGCCAGAGTCAGGGGGCGTGTCTCATTTCCCCAGCAACCTGATGCTGGGCCGTTGCCGGGGCAACCGGGAAGTGTCCTCTGCCGGCTTAAGAAGGCCGGCGCGGGACCCAGGTGGGTGTGTGTGCTCGTTCCCCGCTCGGGACAAGGTGCTGTGCGGGGTATGATCTGAGGTCAGACCCCACAGCCGAGACCCTGCCGAGTCCCTGCGAGCCTGTTGTGTCCCTGGCAAGCTGACCGCCCTGTTGGTCCCCTGCTCTTGAGAGAAGTGCTGTGTGGGGTCCGAGGTGAGGTCAGACCCCACAGCCAGGACCCCCGCTGAGTCCCTGTAGGCCTGCTGGTTGTCCCTGGAAAGCTGACTGCTGTGAGGGTCCCTGTCCGCTGACTGCTGCTGTCCCTGTAAAGCTGACCGCTGTGAGGGTCTCTGTCTGCTGATCGCTGTTGTCCCTGGAAAGCTGACTATTGTGAGGGTCCCTGTCTGCTGACTGCTGCTGTCCCTGGAAAGCTAACTGCTGTGAGGGTCCCTGTCCGCTGACCGCTGCTGTCCCTGGAAAGCTGACCGCTGTGAGGGTCCCTGTCTACTGACTGCTGCCGTCCCTGAAACCGTGAGTGTTCCTGCACATTGTCTGCTGGTTGCCCCTGGAAACTACCTGCCGTGAGTGCCCCTACAAGCCGCATGCAGAAGAGTGTGGAACTGTCTCTATTGTGCACCCTATTGCCCTTGCCCAGACAGCCTTAGTGTGTGCCCATATCACCCCTGCCTGGACTGTGAGCCTGCTGTTGTCCCTAGAGAGCTGTGTGGGGGCTGTGCTGAGGTCAGACCCCACAGCCAAGATCCCGCTGAATCCCCGTGAGCCTGCTGTTGTCCCTAGAGAGCTGTGTGAGGGCTGTTCTGAGGTCAGACCCCACAGCCAGGGCCCCGCTGAGTCCCCGTGAGCCTGCTACTGGGAGTGTCCCTAGAAGCCGCCTACTGCTGAGTGTCTGCAAGCCGCTTACTGTGAGTGTCCCCAGAAGCCGCCTACTGCTGAGTTTCTGCAAGCCGCTTACCGCGAGTGTCCCTAGAAGCCACCTGCTGCTGAGTGTCTGTAAGCCGCTTACCGTGAGTGTCCCTAGAAGTCACCTGCTGCAGAGTGTTCGCAAGCCGCTTACCGTGAGTGGTCTTAGAAGAGTGCCCTGGACTGCCCCTATTGTATGCCCAGATTACCCTTGCCTGAACTGTCCTTATTGTGTGCTCGGATTACCATTACCTGAACTGCCCCATTGCGTGCCCGGATTATAGCTACCTGGACTGCCCCCCTGAGTGCTTGGGCCATCGCTACCCGAAGCACCCTATCGTGGGCCGGATTACAATTATTTTGGGCTCCTCCCCTCTCTTCCCCTTTTTGGGTACCTGGACGCTACCTTCCTACCCTGATTGAGTGCCTTCCATAGTTCAATAAAGCTTTGTGTGTTTAGCATCTTGTTTGTGTGTTCTGTCCTGCCTACACTTCCATCACATGAGCGCTATTTGTTCTTTGTACCCATAGTAGAGGCAAGGGTTTTTTTTTTACCTCCTCCTATCAAACTATTACAACTCCCACCTGAGGACCCCTCAGAGGATCCAGGATTGGGACCCCCATGGCGATGAGAAAGACAAACTTCATTCTGCAAGGAGATGGGATTTTTTTTCCACCTGTGCTCTCAGAAGGTTGCGTGTTTCCGCCCGACTGGGCTACTGTAACCTGACCAGATGTAAGTCATTTTTCCTCTTCTCTCCCTATCTAAATCATTAATGCTTTGCAGGTAATAACTATACTTGATACATACTACACTATAAGGGCTCAACAGCTTCTCCTCTTATTTGTCCAGTGGATACCTTGGGCCTTTCTATGGGTCTTCAATCTGCCTTTTTGGTCTGACCCCTTGGATCTCCGTGAACCACCACCATCAGAATCCCATCTACAACTCCAATTCCCAAAAAGTTGGGACACTGTGTAAAATCTACATTAAAACACAATGCAACAACATGTTTCTATTCACAATAGAAAATAAAAAATCTATCAAATGTTTAAATTGAGAAAATGTATCATTTTAAGAAAAAAATAAAGTCATTTTGAAATTGATGGCACCAACATGTCTCAAAAAAGTTGGGACATCGCAACAAAAAGCTCTAGATGTAAAAACTACAATAACTTTTTTTCTCATTTTGTTTTCCTCTTCCGTCTACCTTTGGAGTTTTGAGGCAGTATTCAACAAAAGAACTGTAGAGGAAGGGGGAACAGGAGAAGTTGAAGGGACTTTGTATAGTTCAGTATGTTCCTCACTGTAATTACTTGATTAGTCTAAATGTTGTAAAAACGGAAAAAAAAATTAAAAAAAAAAAAAAAAACAGCATCCTCAGTAGATATGTACTGTACATATCACCTAATATTTGTTTCTACCTCAAGTATATACAGATTTCTGGGAAAATTGTGAGCCAATTGTATGTGTATTAAGATAAATTTTTGGGCATGCTGAGTTCACAAATTGTGTACAGAATTCCCCTGGAAGTCTGTTGCCATTGGAGTTGGGAAAGGGAACATCTAAACCACTGGAGTCAATGGGAATGGCAAAATTAGGGTGGTGTTTGGTGATTTATAAGAGTGTAATGGGCTTTTAAAGGCTCCTGAGGGTTGTGGAAGCCCTCTTTTAATTATCCTGGATTTGTTTTTGTGCCCTCATTAGCCTTGTTATTTTACTTAAAGTGATTCTAAAGGTTCATTTTTTAATAATAAGAATAATTATGTCATATTTAGCTTCTCTGTGTGGTTGCTTTGCACAGAGCATCCCCAATCCTTCACTTCTGTTGGCTCCTGCTGGGTCTCCTGACTCCTCCTTCTTGCTATGAGGGCACTGGTGCAGCCTCAATCCCAAGGCGGGATGTGTGCATCTATTCACACACACAGCAGCAGGGCACACCCTGCCCCCACTCCTCACTGGATTGATTGACAGCAGCAGGAGTTGACTCCAGTGAGCAGAGAGAGAGCTTCTGCTCTTGGGCACATCGGGAGCTGGATTGAGATTGGGCTCAGGTCAGTATTTTAGGGCAGCTGGAGGAGGAGGAAGCTGATCACAGAACTTTTTTTTTTACCTTAATGCAGAGAATGCATTAAGGAAGGTTATCAAACTCAATTTTATCTAGGGCCGAATCGCCATTATGGTTGCTCTCAAAGGGCTGCTGTGTGTCTGTGAAATTAGATGTCCAGAGCACCCCACCCCCCCTTACATCAGATGTCAAGAGCCCCCCCCCACCATCGGAAGTCAAGAATTCCCCACCCTCCCTTACATCACAACGCACCCCCCCTTAGCTTGTGCTGCTGCCGGAAAAAAAGCTGAGGGCGGAGCTGGAAGGCAGAAAGTTCAGGGTCTGGGGGAGGACCAGAGAAGGGCTGGAGTCAGCTGTGGGAGTTTGCCGAATGCTGAGACCAGGGAAGTACAGAGGAGGGGATGCTGCAGTGGCACAGAGAAGCACAGGATCTGGCAGAGGAGTTCTGTCCTCCTCTCTGCTACCAAGGTGGAAGTAGAGAAGAGGGGAGTGCCGCAGCTGCAGGAGAGGTGCCACATGAAATGGCTTGGCAGACCGGATTCAGCTTTATGTTTGACACGTGCATTAGGGTGAAAAAAACTTCTGCCTTCACAACTACTTTTTTCACAGGAAAAAAAATAACAGCCAGAAAAGGAAGTTAAACCAGGAGGAAGTTAAAGCGACAGTACACAAATAATAATAAATACGCAAAAAGAGAAAAAAGCAAAAATACAAACGTCACAAAGGGGTTGATTGACTAAAACTGGACGGTGCAAATCTGGTGCAGTTGTGTGTAAAAACCAATCAGCTTCCAAGTTTTATTGTCAAAGCCTAATTAAACAAGTTGAAGTTGGAAGCTGATTGGCTAAAGGGGTGTATTTATGAAACAAATAGACAATATGCAATAAAGTGAGCGCTACTAATAAAATACTCAAGCAAGCAGCTAATAGCACTAAAGATGATCACAACCACCTTCGGTATAAATAAAATATGCAAAGTGCAGCGCTTTATAACAAAAAATATGAAGTTCGACCTCAAAAGTTCGATCAGAAATCGATCTATACACACACATAAATGTTCATAGAATCGAGCGAACGATTAGTGAACACAGCTTATATCGGATCCGGGAAATGGCAAAAATGCGCACTCACCGACCGCACATAGGAAATGCGCGTTTTGTATGTCCAATCAAATGGATGTCGATATCCCACCGGGAGAGATGTCCTCAATCGATCTGCTGGGTTTACGAGGCCTCCTTAGTTTGAAATTGGATCAGTCACGGCACACGTTCCTTCCAGGTGCAGAGATGTCCTCAATCGATCTGCTGGGC